CCAGGATGGTCTCGATCTCCTGACCTCGTGATCCGCCCATCTCGGCCTCCCAAAGTGCTGGGATTACAGGCTTGAGCCACCGCGCCCGGCCGGCATTATAATTTTATCTGACCACCATCATACATACTGTCATTCACAGATACGTCATCATGCACCACATACTCTACGTAATGTTGCATCTACCAGATTGCCTTATATGTGAATTATGTATACAAATATTACTCTATTTCCAACCATAATTTGTGAGCTCTTGGAAAGCAGTAACCTTGTCTTTCAAGTTTTCTTCAGTTAGACCCACCACAGTGCTGTAAACACAGCAAGTGCTTAGAAACCAGTTCTAAATTAACTAAGATGGAACTTGAGCAAGGCTTTGGAGTAAACTATTAAGAGGTCTGTGTTCAAGTGCAATTTGTCTGAAGTTCCCCTTGAAAAGCTGGAAGGCTTTAGACATATTGACCAAGGAGATAATACAATTAAAGAAGAGATCAATTATTCAAAACATGAACACATTATTATTGTTATTATTATTATTATTATTTTGTCAGTAGGGAATTGAAATCAGATAAGAGGTTATTACTCAAGGCTTAATTTATCTACCGGCAATTTCCAAATTCTTTGGAAATTCTCGTTCTTTTTAACATTTTCTGCTATGGTTCTTATTGTTCTTATCTTTTGGTGTGTTGTGTTTATTTTTTACTTTGACAGTTTGCATCTGAGTTGAGGAATCAAAATGGGACAAAGGTATACTATATTTAGAATAGCTATTTTGCTGGTTAAGAGATCCAAAAAAGACTTGCTGTTTATAATGGTAATTCATGCAAGCCTATTTTAATGCTTTTGCTTTTTAGAACCACCTCAGGCTTTCAAATGTAATCAAACTTCATTTATGAAAATAGTTGATGTTTATATGTGGAATTTTCACATATTCTAGCTATATGCATTATTTGGAATTTTAAAAATTTTGTTCTTTTTACGCTGAAAGTTAACAAAAACAATACTGTACAATTGTGAGGGTTTTTTTTTTTTTTTTTTGACAATTTATACTGACATAGTGACCAATCTAAACCTGAAGATAAATTATACCAAAGCAAAATAGAGAGTAAATGACGTATATCTTAAACAATAATTTTCTATATATAACACTACATTGCTTTGAAGAGACATGTCCTCAACAACTTGCTTGGCATGTTTTGAATATCAAAATGTTTTGGTAGCAATCATCAGAGACCATGGACCTTGTTACTTGCAGTTATCTTTACTTTTTTACTGGCTTAGAATCACAAAGAATTTACTCTATGTTAATTTAATCCCTTCATTACTGACCTTGCAGCAAATTCTGATTTAAAATTTTATAGATGTGTACAGACGGAGAGTTTTCAGAGAAACTGAAGGGGAAGTGAGAGTGAGGGAAAAGAAGTAAGGCATAAATTCTTTTAGATGATCCTAATTTAATTGGTTTACATTATTTACTAATCAAATTGATGATGGACAGAAATAAAATCAGTCATTAAAATGTGAACTAAAACAATTGATTGACTTGGTTTTATTTTCCTAGTGAACTAAATTACATAGAGTTATTCATACAAATGTAATGACAACACAAGAACACATCACCTTTGTAAAACACTTGGGAGAAGCCCCCACTCTCCAATGAACTTTCATTTAAAGTATTGCACATTCAACTGCCTTTTGTAAATTATATATTTTTTAGTAGCAAATACAAAATGTGTGCAACAGAAGCAAAAATTTCCACCTACTTAATTTTTATTTTGCATGTTTACAGTCAGGTAACCATAGGCTGCCATGAGAGGAATTATTTTTATATTTCTTCACAAAGTGCTCTAGGAGAAGAAATAATATTCTTAGTGTAAAGCTCAGTCTTTATTCTGTCAGGGACAGTAATTATGGAAGCAAAACAAATCCACATTGTCTAATTAGGTCATTAAAAAGCATAAATGCGTCATGGAAGCTTTTCTCCTTGCCTAAGACATAAAGTAAGACAATGAAAACAGTCTAGTAATATAGAAAGATTTAGAATTTGTTTCTTTTCAAAAATAATAGGTCCTTTCATCTTTCTGTTTCCCTCAGATGAAGAGAGTTAATTTAGAGACAAAATCTTGTAATTAGTTCAGAGTTTAGTCTGATTATATTTCAAAATATTTAACCAAAAACAGGAAGCTGAAGAAAAAAACAAAATACACAGAAAAATTGTCAAAGGAAATGCATAAAGAGAGTGGGTTGCTGATCAAAATGTATTCTGCAGAGACAAGATGAATATAAAATCTATAAACCAATCTGGGATACCAGGAAGCTCTGAGGAGGAATATTCTGGCATCTGCCTTTGGGATTTGAAATCCAGATTTTAATTACAGTTAACTTAAATAAAAACAAATGGCATGGTTATTTCGCCTCTTACTCTCTCTACTTTTTATCATATCTTGAGTTTTAGGAAACCCATGGCTGAAAGTGTTAAGAAACAAAACATGAAAAAGAAAAGGAAAATAAACTTACCTGAGATCCTCTTGACCCTCGTTTGTGGTCCCATTCTGAATGCCCCATGAGCTGTAAAGATGATAATTACAATAAGTTAAATGATTATTTTACCTGACAAACACTTTTCTTCTTTATTTTAAAGAATAATCAGGTTTTTCCGATCTTTATTAGTAATATATTAAATAGCTATCATGAATAAATTAACACGCCTAAATTAGTAGCAAACTCCTAGTTTGATAGCTAATATTTCAACTTCTAATCATTTTGAGAGTATTTTAATAACACTGTGTGATAAAATAAGCTACTGTATAGCTCTGTCAGGAACATCCTAGATAGATGTTAAACCATGTATAGCTTTATTTGCATGTTATTAAGCCTTTCGCTTCTCAAGAAAATATTCTGGGTAAATTACTACTATCGTTAAACCTGGTGCCACAAATTATAAGAACCAGAAGGCCAAATTAGTTCAATAATTTTTAATCCTCCTTCAAAACTGTAAACATCTTGAAAGTTCTAAAGAGTAAAATTATTAAATATTTAATGTGAAATATGCCCACATAGTCACAAAATGTAGACTTTCAATAATAACCTATAAAATATTATTACGTTATTCCTATGGTGGTAATGGCCCTGAGCTACCTTGCTTACAAAGAATAATATTTACTTATTGAAAATAACATTTAATGTTAAGAATATTAAGGAAATACAAGATATTGACTGAGAGAAATGAAACTCCATTCATCTGTCAGTAATCTCATTACTCATCAGTACCAACTGAAGAAGTATCTACAACTAATAAGCTAGCACAACAAGATGGACTAAATGAATTTATGTACATTATTAGCTTTTGTGTATAACAGCAATGACTCCTAAGTAGACTTAACAACAAACAACTGTTCACAATAGCAACAAAAATAATATGCCTTTGAACATTATCAAGAAATGTTTGATAACCATATATAGAAAATGGTAAAAATTTACTGATGGACATACAGTGCTACTAGTAAAGAAGACTTAATTCTATAAACGATTGAGTGCTCAGTTCTACTCAAACAAATTTAACTAGATTTCAGGTTTAACTAGATTTTAATCAAAAGCTAATAGTATTTTTAATTTTTAAAAAACATAAATTTCATTGGAGAGTATACGCATATATAATCAGTTGTCAGATGAGTAAGTGTAGCGATACAATGGAGAACATGAGAACTATAGCTCATGATGTTATACGGTGTGCTGAAGTTTGCTAAGAGGGTACATTTTAGGTGATTTCACCAGACACAAAGAAAGTTAAAACTATGAGAGATGTTAATTCACTTGACCTTAGTAATTATTTTACATTGTAAATATACATCAAAACATCATGTTGTACACCTCAAGTATATACAATAAAAAAGAACTCATTAGAGGTCCAGGCACAGTGGCTCATGCCTGTAATCCTAGCACTTTGGGAAGCCAAGGCGGGCAGATTACCTGTGGTGAGGAGTTCGAGACCAGACGCTGTCTCTACTAAAAGTACAAAAATTAGCCAGGCATGGTGGTGTGCACCTGTAGCCCCAGCTACTTGGGAGGTTGAGGTGGGGGAATTGCTTGAACCTGGGAGGCAAAGGTTGCAGTGAGCCAAGATTGCGCCACTGCACTCCAGCCTGGGAGACAAAGTAAGACTCCATCTCAGAAAAAAAAAGAATCCATTAGAAAATGTTACAAGTGATGAAAATACCTTTCTGGTTGTTAAAATATATTGTAAAATTTAACCAAATTTTGGGATAATTGTTTAGTATTAAAATGCAAATGAATGAAATAATTTGGAATAAATATACGTATGTGTACCA